ATATGGTATAGATAAAAGTTCTTGTTTTGTGTAATTTTTTTAATTCAAAATTCTTATTATAATTTAATTTAACGTAACGAATTAACTTAATTTATGTTTAATAATATTTTTTTATAAATATAATAATTAAGTATTCTGTTAGAACTCAATAATTATCCTAACTATATTTTAGATTTTTTATATTTTAAAATGAGATGTTTATTCTCTATTTGATTATGTTTAACCGCAGTTAGTTACACGAATTCAAACATAGAGCTTTAATAAGTTGTATTTATGCACAATTTACTTGTAATCTTGAATTTTAAGTAATATGCATTAATAAACAGTATTTTATGCATAAAAAATATTTTTAATAGTTTTTGTCAAATGCTTTATAATATAGTATAGATAATAAGTTGTACTTATGCATAATTTACTTGTAATCTTGAATTATAAGTAATATACATTAATAAACACTACTTTATGCATAAAAAAATGTTTTTAAGAGTTTTTGTCAAATGTTTTATAATATAGTATATATATATATATATATATATTAATTATATAATATTTATATATGATAAATAGAACAAATAAACTCACACATTATCCCCAACCGATGTAGGATCTTAGGATCCACCCTCATTGGGAGTCCAACGTCCTCGTTGGCGCATCAGCTCGGCTCCCAGTTTTGTTACCATCTGAAACATCTCGAGTCAACCGTCCAAGATATTGTCCGTTTTGTCCACACACTTGGACTCACTGTTTTAAAATGCGTCTGATACAAAATGTATCCAGTTTCTTATAAGACAACTTTTGTTTCCCTCCCCAGTCGATGTAGGATCTTATAGGTTTGGGGTAAAACTGCAAATCGTACCGTATATGCAGTTTGGGTATTTTTTTTCAAACCGCAAATTGCACCGCATATACCTCAAACTGCAAAAATCTATGTTTACAATCCGATAATTATAAGATTAAAACTTTATTATAAAATCAACAATAAATTAGATATAGTCTGAGAAGTAAAAATAATTAACTTCAAACTAAATCGTTGAGATTTGAGGGTAAGTTAGCGCAGAAGACAGAAGGCCCAGACCAAAACAAAATTGAAAAAAAAAATGGTATAACCATGTGGTTGATGTTGATTAAAACCTAAAAGTTTTACATTTGTACAACCAATACAACTCAATTTTAACCATTCATTTACTTTGATGAATATGTGATTTCATAAAAGTTTTGATTGTAATCTAATATAAAATATTGATCATAATTAATGAACTCTAGCCATATTTCATAAATATTCAAATCATAATAAATGAACTCTCATAATTTTCATAAATATTTCAATTGATTGGGTTGCATTGATTGTACAAATGTGATGAGTTGCATTTGAAACGTACTATATATATATATATATATATATATATATATACTTGGGATCATGTGAGACCAATGGTTTTTCGTGAGACTCGTAAGACCAATTCTCATATATATATATATATATATATATATATATATATATA